TCGAGGAACAACCCCTTTGAGTGCACGGCGCTAAGAGGCCTTATTTCATAAACATGGTCTGCATATGTGGAGGAGCATGATTCGGCCACTGCCTTTATACGCGTTGTCGTGATTACTCTACTACCAAATCTGTTTCTGGGAATTGCACATTTGATAATCTCCCATGTCTCTACGCTCCATACGTCATCAATCACAATGTAGTACCTGCCACATGAATTTGGTTGTAAATTTAGTCATAGACTGTAATGTTTCTAAAGTGCGCATGACCAAAGTTCCTATTGATGGATTAGCCATAGGGGTGATGATTATAGCTTCATACCTTTTGTCTCGAAGGAAATATAGAATGTTGTCAATGAGTTGTCTCTCATCCCCAGATTCAGTGCCACTGTGCTCTAGCTTGCTCAGTTGGCTCAGAATACCTCTCAGAACCTTCACCGCCTCAGGGTCTCGAGAACGGACACGAAAGCCCGGTACTTGAATTGCTCTCCAAACGAGTGGTAGATTTGGTTGGCAGGAGTCGTCTTGCCATCCCACCAAACCCCACAATGGACGCCGCCTTCAGCTGCTTCGGGGTCCTCCACCCGGGACAGCCTTACGAGGAATGCGCCCGTGTGCTCGAGCTCTGGCTTGAGGAACTATCACCTCGCCACGTACGCACGCGCCCCCCAGCATGCCGGCCAGCTTCTCCAGGACCGGCCCCAAGGACCCCGTGGCGGCGCTCACCATCGACCGCCATCGACCCGGCCATATTAGATGGTTTCGTGAGGAAATGGTAGGAAGGAAAGGCAGAGCAGGCACCACCAGAAATGGCGGAAGAGCTCACAGCACGCACCTGAACCAGGGAGGAGAGAGGGTCGATTTCGCCGGCGGTTGGACTGGGCGCGATGGGAATCCGGTCCAGTACCTGAGAAGCAAGGCATAAAAGAGCAGGAGTGCGACCATAATTTAGTGAAGGATGAACTCAGATGGCATAAACATGAATTACGATTTTTACTACGTATTTAGGCCATTGCCAACTTCTTTCCTTGTCGTGCAAGGAAGAAGCCTTGTGGTGATGTATACAACACCAACTGGGCGTGCCAATTACCATGCCGAGGTTGGAACGCCAGGAAATTCCTGGCCTAGGTTCAACACTGGGCAAACGGGTAAACTAGGAGTACCACAAAGATTAAATAACACCACCACGGCCACAGGCACATGAAACACAGGAGATAACAGTTGCCAAGTTCAACAGATAAACAGTTACTTATGTTCAGAGTCGACAGGGTGACTGGTATGTATCCCTACAGATAAACCCAAACTAACAGCACATCCCACTGGTTTGTTTACACCTGAGCTAACAGCACAAGTTCCCCCCGCCTGTACAACGGCAAGCCAAGCCACCATCCAGCACATGAAACGGGTAAACATTTACATGTACAGCAACAGAGATCCCAAACGGGGACCAAAGGGGTCATCCGCGGTGCAATCTCGGCTGGCTGTCCCCTCTGCTACTACTTGCCCTTCTCTCGCGGAGTTGACAGGGCGACGAGGATGTCAGCCGCCTGAGCGACGTTGCTGCCGGGCTCAGGGACGGGCGCTGATGGCTTATTGCAGGGTCCAAATTGTACTGCCTCCCCGGTTGCTGCAATTGGTAAAGGAGTGTCGATGTCAGTGGAAACAGGAATGATGGTGGCTACGACGTTGCGGGTTAAAAGGAGACGTACTCGGTGCAGGAGCAGTATAACCCATGGTGGCTGCACTCGGCGCCTGAGAGTGCTCGCCTTCAGATGCTGTATGTGTTGTTGGAGCCCCATGGAGCGCTGGCTCGTTGTTGCTTGATGCTGGAGGATCATGGCAGTTTGGCGCGATACTCAGTGCTAGAGAATCGCAGCCTTCAGCGCTCAAAGCTGAAGAGTTCACATGTCCTGCATGATCATGAACAGCCTCGATGATTCGCATATTTGGTAGGAAAGAATCAGTTTTACACATGATCCACAAGTTACCTGGCACATGAGCTGGAGCTGCGACAGAAGAAATCGAATCACCACCATGGCACTTAGTTGGATAAATTGCTTTGCTTTGTGGTGCAATACTCAGTGAAAGAAATTCCGGGCCTTCAGGTGTCATTCTTGGCACAGAGCTGGGACTTTTCATCCCTCTGAATTTGGTGCTTCCCAGTGCCAAAACTGGCCCAGGACATTCAGAGCCCTTCAGACTGAGTCCTGGAGCACTAATCCCACGGCCTTTTGAGGCATTACTTGGTGCTGGAGAAGCATAACCATGAGATGCAGATTTTCCAGAAGCTGTCCTCAGAAGGACGTTATGAAGTGTAGGTGCCATTCTAGCTGCAGAAGGATCCTGATTTTTGGCACCATGATTTGCAGAGCTTTCAGGTAACATTATTCGTATAGGAGAATCCCTACTTTTGGGTTTCACACTTGGGGAAGCTAGGCATATGGCACCAGAAGAAGTAGATGTTTCAGGCACACTGCTTGGTGCGACAGAATCATGGCTTTTGGGCACCGTAGCTACTGCAAGAGTATCACATCCTTTGGTGCTAAGAGCTGTGGAACTTTCAGCCAATGTATTTGGTCCACAGGAATCGCCAAGGTTACCAAGAGTTAGTGCACAATGCCCAGTTGTTTTATCCAAGGATATGTGTTCTTCTGTTGTCCTTGCAGGATCTTCTGCTGCTACCCTTGCAGGATCACTGGACATCACTTCGACAGAAGATTTATGCCATAGTGATGGCTGCAACAGATCCAAAAAAAAAGTTATGCTAAACACAAACCTTACTAGCCAAGGAAGGTAATTAACTAAATAGCAACCTGTAATATTTGTACATATATAACTGGTGTGCTTGAGAAGGGCAACAACAACAACAACAACAAAGCCTTTTGTCCCAAGCAAGTTGGGGTAGGGTAAAATATATTCGAATGATTTCTATATTCATGTATCAAATTCGTTACAATGAATCGTAAAATTCTCAACCAACAAATATAGCAAATAATTAGTAGTTCTTGGAGTTTTTTTTTCAGTTTTCCTTTCCATAAAAGGATCATGTGTGCCTCATTCTACGAGCTATGTGCTTACAAACCATCATACAGAATTTATGATACATGCTACTGGAGTTAAAACATTCTGAACTGTGCACCATCACCACTTGATTGCATATTAGGATTCCTAGAAACAGGAGTTGCATATCTAATACCTTCCCTTCTGGAAAGATAACTGGTGGTGGTTTTGGAGAGGTGCATGTCTGTCATGCAGCCATATCCATGCATTACACATGATCACAAACTGAATTTTATGTTGTATACACTTATGAACGTAAGTGCAAGCTGTGTGCATCTAGTACCAGTTCCGCAAAGGAACATGACGAATTGGCAAGCTTCACATGTGGGCCTATCCTCCCTATATAATTTTGTGTGCGACCATTTACAGGCAAAAGTATGACTACATGAGCCAAGAGCTACATTAGTGTGTGGATGCACTGACAAATATGCATATTAATAAAGGTTTCTTAAGGAAGAAAACACAACAGGAGACTTACACAGTAATGGAGTTTCTTTAAAGTTTCCAAAAGTAACTTTTCTCCGACTATTATTATCATCTTCTTCACCATTTCTTCACGACTTATTTCGTTTTCCTGTCAGATAGAGAAAAGGAAATGTTCCATTGCCCATCATACCGCCAAAAAATGGAAGCTAATAGACACGACATTACTTATTAGACTCTGATAGTACCTTCAGCTCTTCATAATGATGGAAGAGCAGTTCCTTTGCTACAGATGATATATGGTCTTGGATCATTGCAAACAGAACTCTGAAGGATATCCATGGGGATGTTGGTGCTTCACCAGTTTCACCCATTATCTGCATACAGATAGGTCTGGTTGCATAAGTGGAGTACGGTGAACCAAAGCTAAAAACATTACATGAAGCAGATAATGTAAAATGTCGAGCAGCATAGCTGGACTTCTACAAGAACAAGTTTCTATTGTCCAACTGTAATCAATCTGAAAAAACAGTAAGGTGCCTCACAGGTTGAAGAGTAGAAATATCCATAGCAACTTCCTTTGGTGATGGGTGAAACCATAAACCCTTCAAACCAAGTAAGTAATCTGCAAATAAGTTCACCAAAAAGACAGACTCACTCCACTTATCTTGTCTTGATATGACATATTAAAGGTCTTAACACTTATTAACCATCTTACTTCGAACTTTTGGTGAAAGTCTGAAACTAACAAGATATTCTAAACGGATGTGAGTGTTAAGATGGGATGGCCACATAACATAACACTTTGGGTTGGAGCAATCATCAACTCCAGAATCATATATCTCGCTGCTTGGAAAAGAATCTTGTGATCCAGGCGTGATAGCTTCCATGTTGCCCAATATCACTCGGCACAATAACATATACTGCACCGCTTTTTCGTCAACATCACAAAGACCGACACTGCCAAACAATGAAATACGATCAAGTATGTTAACTGATAAAATGGAATAGTCAGCATACTGAGTTAAGATAACACACCTGGTAAAGGCTCGATCTTCTGGTGAAAGATAAACACCAGCGCTCAAGCATGCCTTCTCAGCAGGTTTTCCGGTGTTACCAAACCCATTAATTAGAATCCTAACTATGTCACTCTTTGTAGAACCCAGCCATCCATATCTTACATTTGAATCACCACGATCTTCTTTGGTGCAGCTCATTTGTTTTTCAAAAGCTTGAAGTCGACACTGAGCAGTGATATCATTCGGGGAGTAGCGGTGGATATGAAGTATGTTATTCGGTGTTGCAAACGGACCCATACCAGAGAGAAAAAGGTCCTGAACAAGCAAAAAGTCTTCGCTTCCTCTTTCCACAGATGTGATCTTTTTACGTAATATGTCTGCAGTGGAAGGCTTATGTGGCCCCGGAGGGCCAGATTCAAGAACAACTTGCTTCACCACTTCCTCTGGAGAACTTACAGCCTTATCCAGCATTATTCCCTGTGCACCATCCTCAACATTACTAGAGTCCAAATTGGCCGTTTCATCACCTTCCTCATCAAAGAACAGAGAAGGAAAAAAGCCCTTTCCAGTATCATCATACCATGCAACAGATCGCTGTTTTCTTGTTTGTAGGTTGACAAGACTCATTGACAAGAAATCAACAAGAACAGGCTCATCATCCATCACAGCCACAACACTAGATTTGCCACCTTTAAATCCTTCAATCAGGGACTTCATTATTAGCTCAGGAAAATTGTGCCAAGAATCTTGTTTGTAAAACACGATACGGCTGGGAACTCCACTTTTCAGATAATTGACACAATCACTGGCAAGATTAGGTCGCGTGCAACAGCACTTGCACCGTTTAGCAGATGGATCAGAGGGTCCATTGTCAACCACGACTCGACGAGACTTGCACTCTTTTGACAGGCAGTTGTCGACAAGCTTGCGCTTCAAGCACAAGGGTTTGGGTTCTTGTGGCGACGCCATTGTCTAGCTTGGTTCCTACCAGAACAGATGGAGAAATACGAAATAACCTTAATATGGTACACAATTTACAGGTCTCCCTTCATTTTGACCACACAGCGGTAGAGAATGATCCTGTATGAGGTAATGAATGATGTCAGTCATACAAAATACACACGAGTCAAGAATCTATGCACGGAAGTCGTATCTAACTAATTCACAGAAGCATACTTGAATTCACGGTACTTGACTCCGAAAAAGGAAAATCAACAAATACATAATGAAGGGCCAAAACAAAGTATGTTCTTTTACACCAAGCAAAAATTGGTAGGATAGTTGAATGCTTATTTCTAGCCTTACCACCAACACATGTTTACTGCAACAGTATATAGAGTGCAACAATAAGTGCTAAATGCTCTTCGTGCTATTGTAATCGGCCTTACAGGAAAGAAAACGCAATTCAGACAATTTTTGTTAGTAAAAATGCATGATATGATAGTTCAATAGAGTAATTTCTTGCGCAACAATAAGGACAGGCCCAGTGCTAGAAGCTCCCGCACCAGGTGGGGTCTGGGGAACCCTGCACAGCGCAAAGCAGAGAGGCCGCATCGAACCCAGGACCTCTTGGCACAAGTGAGGAGTACTTCACCACTGCGCCAGGCCCGTCCAAGAAGCCTTTTTTATACAAGTACAAATATACATAAAAAATACCAGATATTCTTGACACAACCTTCCTTGTCTTAAGCCATAAAATTGAAGTTGTTAAATAATGACACTGACATGAGCATATAGCTACTTGTGGGCCAAGAAATCGTTCCGCATGTGTTCAGCGTGATACGAGAAGCGGTTCACAACAAAAATCATTCAACGTGTAAAAACTGGCCTGCATTAATGATACTAAAGCTTGTCTACGTGTATTATCCACGTAGCAAGTGGAACAGGTCAGGCAAGTAGGAACTAACAGAAATGGCATTGCAAAACAACATCATGATGTGCAAGCATTGGAAAGAAAAATTGCCAGTTTTCGTGTATTAATTCTACACCGCGAAGCAATATGCAGAAACAATTCCGCAATGTTAGCAACTGTGCAGCAGGAAACCATAGAAATACCCATCTCTGCATGAAAACATATCAGGTGCATCCACCTCATGGGGTGCTACCATGACCCAGCCCTACATACACACGTGTCACATTAATTTCAGAAGGAAACACCAACGTTACCATTTCGGTTGGATACAGACAATAGCCAAATCAAGAAAGTTACTCAAGAACCGACAAGTTCTTTTCTGCGTAATTAAGTACCAATATAAGATACTCTGGACTAAACGCCTCAATTTTTGTTCTGCTGTATTAAGCCACAAACTTTAATGTTTTTAATTAGTAAAAACTGCATGGCATTCCAATTTTACCAATTCCTTGAGCGATACGTAACACTCCCATACAACTTGCAGACCAAGAAATCATATTTGCAGGTACATCTTCGCGGGGAGAGATACACACACGGGCGACAAAAGCATTGCCACCACCCATTCTATGTCATTCAACCATCGTTCGATGCCCGACAGTGCACACGGCCCAGATTCAGTTGAACATGAGGAAACAGGGGGCTAACAGCACCAATCCTCCAATGAAATGAAATAGAAACTCCACGGCAAAGATGCTATACCTTACTATAACCAACCAGCAAGTGTAACATGCATCTCAGAATCAGAAATAACACGCTGAGACGACTCAGTACGTGGCCATCCAACATTTCAGGGAAATGAATGTGATATTTCTCTCGTGTATAGATTGCACGGCATGACAGCATGAAAACAAACATAGGTACCATTCCACGGAGTTAAGGACTTGCCAGCAAAACCCTAAAATACACATCTCCGTACACACGGAGTCACGGACTAAACAACGTCTGACAACCAATCTAAAAACTCAGCGCGTAGGCACGAGGATTCAATTGACCTTCCGCCCCTGAAATATGGTTTTTAGGCTGAAAACCCAACCACCAGAAAACAGGGGCGATACGTAATACTTCCCATAGAACAACTTGCGGACCAAGAAATCATATTAGCAGGTACCTCTTCTCAGGGAGATACACACGCGCGCGAGGAAGGCATTGCCACCACCCACTCTATGTGCTCCAACCATCATTCAACGCCTGACAGGGCACACGGCCCAGATTCGGTTGAACATAAGGAAACAGGGGGCTAACAACAACAATCATCCAACGAAATGAAATGGAAACTCCGCGGCGAAGATACTATACCTTATTATAACCAGCCAGCAAGTGTAACATGCATCTCAGAATCAGAATTAACAGAAATAACACACTGAGACGACTCAGTACATGGCCATTCAACATTTCATGGAAATGAATGCGATATTTCTCTCGTGTATGTATAGATTGCACGTCATGCCAGCATGAAAACAAGCATAGGTACCATTCCACGGAGTTAAGGACTCGCCAGCAAAACCCTAAAATACACATCTCCGTACACGCGGACTAAAGAACGTCTGACAACCAATCTAAAAACTCAGCGCGTAGGCACGAGGATTCAATTGACCTTCCGCCCCTGAAATATGGTTTTTAGGCTGAAAACCCAACCACCAGAAAACAGGGGCGATACATAATACTTCCCATAGAACAACTTGCGGACCAAGAAATTATATTAGCAGGTACCTCTTCTAAGGGAGATACACACACGCGTGAGGAAGGCATTGCCACCACCCACTCTATGTGCTCCAACCATCGTTCAGCGCCCGACAGTGCACACGGCCCAGATTTGGTTGAACATGAGGAAACAGGGGGCTAACAACACCAAGCATCCAATGAAATGGAATGGAAACTCCACCGCAGAGATACTATACCTTATTGTAACCTACCAGCAAGTGTAGCATGCATCTCAGAATCAGAATTAACAGAAATAACACACCGAGATGACTCGGTACATGGCCATTCAACATTTCAGGGAAATGGATGTGATATTTCTCTCGTGTATGTATAGATTGCACGGCATGCCAGCATGAAAACAAGCATAGGTACCATTCCACGGAGTTAAGGACTCGCCAGCAAAACCCTAAAATACACATCTCCGTACACGCGGACTAAAGAACGTCTGACAACCAATCTAAAAACTCAGCGCGTAGGCATGAGGATTCAATCGACCTTCCGCCCCCAAAAATTTGGTTTTTAGGCCGAAAACCCAACCACCGGAGAACAGGGGCGGACACAGCCGCTGCACGGGGGTCGGGCTGAGGCAGATCTGGAAGAATTAGACTGTATCGAAGCAAAAAAGAACACCAGGGCACAGCCAACAAACAATTCAAGCGGCGGCAACAAGCTAGGGCTTCCTCACCGATGAGCGGAACCACGGCCGACGGATCTTCAGGACACGCCAGCCAACCAGGATGGGGGTGGGGATGGGGTGGGCGGAGGAGGAGCACGCCGCCGGCGAGGAAAGGCTGTGGCCACCACCACGCTGATGGTTCCGGACTGCCGGCGCTGGCAAAGGGGATCTTTTTTTTATTTCGCGAGGAGAGACTTGCTTGGGACGGACGAAAAAGTAGAAACCGCCGCCGGGTGCGGGTGGCAGGCAGTAGCGGCGGCGGGACTGGACTGGACTGGGTCGGCCGAATGCGCTATGGGCCGGGCCGGGCCAGCAACATCCGAGCCGCATGGTGGTCGCCCCGAAAGCAAAATCGGCCCAAAGAGCCAGAAAAAAAAAAACACTAGCGCGTACCGAACAAGAAAATGGGGAAAAACTCCATCAGCTCGACTGGCGGCCGTCAGTAATCTGCTCAACAAGTGTGCAGCTGCAGCGGATTTAATTCGCAAATTCAGTAGCAACTCAGCGAGCAGCAGCGTCGGCAAGCAAGCAGCGACCAGCATCAGCAGAATCCAACAGCAGGCAACACTGCGAAAACAAGCAAGCAGCCGACCAAAATTCAAGCAAATGGATGGAGAGTGACAGCCGAATGGGAACGGGACGAACACGAGAAGGTAGACGACGGGGGCGGGTGCGAGGGCGGGAGAGGCGGCCACCGCCGGCGTGCAGGCGCTCTGCCACCGCCGATTCACGATCTAGGGCTTCGGGATGGGGGAGTGCGGGGTGCCTACTGCCGCCCGTGCCTTTGGGGCAGTGGAGAGTGGAGACTCGGCAGTGCAGCGACGCAAGGAGGTGAGGAGAAGTGGAGAACCAAAGGGGGTTAGCATTTACCTGATTGGGTTGGGCTTGGGCCTATTAGCTAACCCAAAGGCCGGAAACGCAGAAAATGGACCGGAACCCCCCAAAAAAATGGACTTGGAACTGAATTGAACCCACCCCTGAGGTGGCGAGCTCGCTTCCGGTGAGTCGGTGCGGCGACGGTGAGGGTAACCCTAGCCAATCTTTCTGCAAAGGAGCCGAATTGCTACTGCATCGATCTATGATGGTTGTGGGTTGTCAGCAAGTGGCTTCATGAAGACCATCTTCGAGCACCGTCCTAGGGGTGCGCTCATGAGCTTCATAGGAAGCATTCGGTTCTTTGCAAAGGAAAAAAACTTTTGCCTGCAACTCGTGCAGGTGATGTAACCGTCTCGTCATAAAGGTTGTCTTACTGTAATTAAAGTCCTAGCTCTATCCTATAACATACTTAAGAGAGAAAGATTTGGTGTCAATGAATCGTAGTTGTCAGACAATAATGTGCAAGCTCTCTACTGGACGGGTTCTCTTCTTTCTCATATCCCCTTCGCTAGGTCTCTGCTCTAGGCTTTAGCGGATGGACCACAGGCGAGCTGAGCCGTGAGATTAGTTGTGAGTTTGAAGCTTTATTTCCATCATTTTCAATACCATTTTATTCAAGAAATGAGAGTCTAGAGAGAACAAAATTTTATGATTCAAGGAGTGCAATTGTTCAATGTTTGTATATGAGGAGTCTAATCCTAAGCATTTGTTTTGGATGTCATCATATATACCTAAGAGAGTAATCTTCACTAAATTATTTATCTCAACATGCAAGCATGTCACAACAACGTACAATTATGAATG